CTGGGGCACACACAGGCGCACGCAGGGGACAGGCACGGCGGACACCTCCTCCCCAGGGATTCTACAGCCTGGCTGGGGTGTCCCGGTGGACACTGGACATGGTACGCAGACCCCCTTCTAGGACCAGGAGCCTGTCAGCCCATCAGGGGTCACTCACACCTGTGTGCCTCCCATCCTCCTGCGGATCCCAAAGCGTCCCCTTAGTGAGCACCTGCCCGGCAAACTCTAGCTTAGCTCTCGCCTTGTGAGATTCCAACACAGACACCCCCTCCTCCCTGACAACAAATGCCACCACCAGCACCCTCCTTGTCGTCAGGGCTGAGCAGGGACCAGGCACTGCATGAAGGGCTCTTGTCCCCTCCCCAAGGCCCAGTCTGCAGATGGGGACGTGGAGGCAGGGGCCGGTGCGGGACAGGAGGGGCAGGCTGCAGGGCACTGGGGAGACCCGGCAGAACGTGGGGTGCCTGGGACAGATAGCACGGGCTCTCACTCCATCTCTGCTCTTACCCATACCCCCGGCCTCAGGGCCAAATCAACTGCCAGGGCCCAAACTCTGCCCCCAGGGCCACACATCTGTGTCCTCTGGTCAACAAGGTAGCTCATAAAATTAGATTTAACTATTAAGGTTTCAAAATTGCCGAATCCACAGAAAAGCTCGCTTCCGGCTGCTCTCAGCAACATCAGGGATCTGGGCTGGCAGGACCTGCCTGTCGTCAGGCAGTGAGGATGGCAGTGCCCCCAGGCCCTGCCCCCTGGGACACGGCACATGCAGTCTGGTCCCCCACGGCAAATGGGCGCCTCCGCAGACCACGCTCCCTGCAGGGGCCCATGACTTTGAACCTGAGGCAGCTGTGGCCATGGGAGGTGGGGCACACAGGGCTTTGGGGGCCCCTCTGGGTTTAGACAGAACTCAAGCCTGTCTGTCCCTCAACGACCACACAGGCAGCAGCAGGGCCCAGGGCCCCCCCACCCCCAGCTCACGGAGGACTTCAACCGGGTGGGGCCGTTCTGCATGGGGAGGCAGTGGGCAGCCCCACCCTGGCTGTGGGGTCCCCATGGGCCTCCGCCCTCTTCCCACCCCTTCTGCTGTGGCCCCATCAGCTGTCTTCCCCACTCCAAGTGGCACTCAGGTACTTTGGTCAACACTCCCAAGACAGAAATGCCTAGAAAGGCAGGGCTGCAATGTCCGCACGTCCCGGCCCACTCCTGGGACATGCTCAGACACGAGCGTGCATGGGGACCCCAGGGCAGATCCTCTCTCACATACACATACACACGTGTGCGTGCACACGGCCTGAACCCTTGCCACTCTTAGCGTGTGACAACAAGGCATGGTGCAAATGCGAGGGCTTCATGTCTAGAAAAAGCCCCTTCCAGAGCAGAGCCTCCAAGTGACAGGAGAAGCAGGTGCCGGCGGCTTGGCTGGTGGCGAGCCGGAG